ACCGAAACTTCGGCACCTTCGCCATGGACGCGGCGTCACCCGGACAGCCTAATAAATACTGACTCCGGACGCGGAAGCCTTCGCTCCCCCTATATTGCAACCCGCGACCAAGTGCTCTATTCCGTGACTAAGCACTGAGTGAACGAGTCGACTGAAGATTGAAGAATAATGTTAATAATTAATAAGTCATTGTCACCGCATGCGCGATCCCAAGAACAAACAATTTCCTGAAACTGAAAATGTCAATTTAACAAATTCGTGATTACAATAAAGTCATATCATTGGTTGGAGTATTGTCTATCATTTTCAAACATTAAAAATAGTGCTAAATAAGAATTTAAACAATTTTTGTAAAATTATATAAAGTTTACCTACCTGATTGGCCGGCACTGTCGCTGGTCTTGTGTCGCTCTCTGCCGGCGAGTGATGGCACTTCCTGAAGCCGAGGATGCACCATGGGCCGTGGCAGCCCGACGCAAGAGGACAACATATACGTAGCTCGCAGATGGTGGGATTCTGCAAAGTTCAACAAAGTGTATAAGAAACAAATCTCGGTGTAGCAATTTGATAAACTATGAATATGATTACGCCTGCATATACACTCGATCACGATGTCTGTCATTTGTGAAATGTATTAAATATTATGCCCGAAAATGCCATCAGAAAGCGATATTTGTTAGATTAAAGACATTATTCAGATTTTGCTTAGAGGTATATTTACAAGTAAAGGTACGATGGAATGGTTTGCTAATATCACTTTCAAAGGAAGGCGTGTGAATTGTTTTCTGTTTTCCTCCACCTCATACTGACTTGAACCCGTGAACATTGGTATGACGGTGCAAAACATTAATTGTTTTTTTACGCTAATCGAAGGTATTTAAAATAAAATAGTACAGATTATCATCATAAAAATCTAAACATCACCAATCTATCATAATAAAAAATCGAATATCTCTAAAATAGTAAACATATATTTCTTTATACATTTTGAAGAACGTTCGTATAATGCACGCAGCTGCAGATAAGCTTCATTATTTTAATTTAATTGAACTATTAAACCCTTCATGCAACTAAGTAGATTTACTTTTGAGTTTGTTAATAATGTATAATATCAACAACATTAACTTTGAATTGTTCGTGATACTCCGTAACTCGACTTTGCAATTTAGAATCTTTACAAGTAAGTTCCATTGAAATATTTAACAAGAAAATAAATGGAATTTTAAATGAAAATTAATAATTAACGACAATGAGTGTTCGTCATTTCGAAACTGAAAATAATACGTATTTTCATTTCTCATTTCGTTTTCGCACAATATACAGTACAATAAAGCAAAGCAGTGAATTTCATTCAAATATGTAGATTTCAGGAATTGAATCGTACGCGATAAACTCCATTTTGTGAAGTAAATTTCAACTTAAGCATCTTGTCACATGTAGACACGGGAAATCTCTGTAGAGATTCCCCTAATCACACTCACGGATTCCATGATTCATAAAATGACTATATTTTCTGGAGATATTTCTGTTTCTTAAGTCTCTCAGCTCACTATTGCTCTTTCAACATTCATTCGTACAATTTTTCATTCCACCAACTTGATTATCCGGACATTATATTTCAGGTAAATGTCCCAAGATATGGAATTCATTTGGACTATCTATAAACAAACGAAAAAATAGGACTTTTCAACATTTATAGACACGCACCCAATGCTACATAATATCAAAATACCTAAGTGATAAGATACTATTCAAAACCAAAACGTGTATGTCCAACAAGGTTTAAATTTCGAAATAGTTAACTAGAAGCTGTTTCCATTAGAAATATTTAGTATAATTCTATGTTCATTATACTGAAATTACCATTCTATGAAAAATACCAAGCTATTAGTTTTGAATCAACAAGCATCGATATTGCAGATGTTCATATGAGTTATTCTGTAATTACTACAGCTTGAACACAAATATGAGTAGTAGACGATGAGAAATTAAAACGTGACGCGTGATGTTATGTGATTTTGCGGTGTGCTGTATTCACAAACGCAAGTTAGCGTAGTACCTCTTCAATTAACGATTCAAAACATTTACATTTTATATCTACCATATTTCGATATATTGCCTTAATTATCGCAAACTGTTGTTAGTGGTGGACAGTTCTGCCACATGTATTTTGTCGAAAGATTGGAACAGAAAAACTTAAGAGTTGACCTGCATCCGATGACCGCGTGCAACACGAGGCTTGGTGGGAATGAGCAGAACGCGATACGGCGTGCCGTCAGCGGCGGACAGTGGGATCAAAACTTGCGAAGGTCCATACAAATTCAGGCACGGAATCATATTGTGAAATTAAAAGTCAGTGACCTTTGGTTTACTGGTAAACTGTTCCTGGTGGCATTCCAAATAAAAAAAACTATATTTAATATGTCTCTTCTTTTAAGATCACTTCTCCGCGAAAAAGGCCTTTACAATAAAGATGCAATTGCGTCCACTGAAATACTTGTTCTGATACACAATGGATCCATCGCAACCACAGAGCACCCACTCTCTATGACGCAACACGCTTCCTCAGGGGGAGGCAAGTCGCATGAGAGCCACCGAGCCAAACCAACTCCAAAGCTGGACAAAACGAATTGACTTATTGCTTATTGGTAGAAGGACGTTGTCATGGCAACAGGGGTGGCGCGTAACGGCTTTGACCGCCGGTATCCAGCAGCCACAAGTAGTGCTAGTACTAGGTTGTGCTATGTGTAACGTGTAGAACTGCTTGGTTCCATCTTGAATTGAAACGCTAAGTTTGCAGAAAGAGAAACGACGTCTTTTAAATCTTTACTGGCCAGCCATACATATCATGTCAATTTCACACAAAGTTAATTGTAACAATTAACACATCTTAAGTGTTAATTTTGTGGTGAGGCCTGGCCTTCAGATCGCAGCAGATCTGATTCTCCTTCAGATCGCAGCTGAACTCGGTCATGTAGCTAGTGTGGATGGTCCGCCGCGTGCCGTCGGACTAGAACCTTCTGGTATCTCGTGGTCCGACACAAAGCATTCGAGAGCAATGCTGGCTCTGAGCTGAACTCAGCCGTTCTACAACTCGATACGTTCGATACAACTCGTTCTACAACTCAATGCAGGGAGGTCGAGACAGGGAACAGCGACGGGTGGGGCAGC